CAGGTGTGAGCAGGGGCCCAGACTTCCTCCATGCTCCCGGTAGCCCCAGCCCTGGGGGGCCGTCTCTCTTCCCTCAGCTGCCTCCACTCCCCAGGGAGGGGTGCTCATGGTGGCAGCATGATGTAGATCTGGTGATTTAAATGGCTTCCCTCCCTTTGGTTTGCCCTGTTGGAGTTGTGTGCACCCTTAGCGAGCGCATTGCTTCACGGGGCTCTGCCAGCAGGGTGCCAGCGGACAGACCCAGGCCCCAGGCTCTGCCCGTGGGGCCTGTGTTGCTGAGGTTACAAGGCTGGTCAGCGGCGTGGGGGCACCGGCTAGGGTGGCCACACACGGGACCTGTGTGCGGTGTATGTGCAATGGCGTGTGCGCCCCTCTTGAGCCCTGGGTTCCCATCCGCGGTGGCTCCCTGGCCGGCACGTAGTGGACGGGGCTGAGGACGCAGCCGCTGAGTGCTGGCTGGCGGTGCTGGGACTGAAGCCCTGAGACACCCCTGCCGGGGGAGGCTTGAGGTCACTTTGCTGTGATGTCACTTGGTCCAACTTGAGCCTTCTCCTCTGGGGGTGGGATACAGGTCAGCCTCAGAGAAAGAAGATGTCTAAGTGGAGGGGGTTGGTGGAGGGGTCACAGACCCAGAAGCCCTCCCACCAGACACCTGCTAAGTGTGGCCCCCAGGCCTTGAGAAGCTTCTCCCAGCTTGTTGAAGGGCAGCTGGGTTTGAGGGGAAGGCCCAGGGCTGTTGGGGACCCTCGGGCCATCTTCAGGGGCCAGAAGTGTAGGAGCTGCACCCTAATTCTGCTCTTGGGGAGGCGCCGGCCCATAAGATGCCTCCCTCCTGGGAGGGTGGTCACAGTGCCTCCACCATCCAGGGGCTCGGACAGGGTGGACAGCGTATGGGCTGGGAGTGTGTGTCAGGGTGGCATCCGAGATGGAAACCGACAGAAGAATGTCACTGACAGGAGCAGGACCTCTCTGGTCCCATCCCCCCGTAGCAGCCATGTGAGGGGCCGTGGGAGAAGGCCTGGGTGCGCAGGACGCTCACGGGGTGGCGTGGGCTGGGCTTGGGATGCTGAGGGGCCAGCTAGGGGGCTCATGACCCAATGGCCACAGGCAAAAGGGCAGGGGCCCTACAGGCAGGACCTTCCCAAGCATGCTTGAGGGAGGCTGCGTGCGGTGGCCTGACACCTGGAGACAGGCCTCGGGGCGGCTGTGAGCTCAGGACGAAGGATGGAGGGTGGGCCCCCTGGGGGGCTGAGCTGCCGTCCACGAGACTGAAGGGCTCAGAGCAGATGGCGGCGGGGGTACCCTGGGTCCCCACACGTGAGGCTGGGGGCAGCGGGCCTCGGCTGGGCTACCCTGAGAGGCCAGAAGCTCGGTATTCGGGGAGGGAAACAGCGCTGGTGGCTGGAGTGCAGTCTGAGGCAGTGACCCCACTGTGTCTCTAGGGAGGGGTGTCCCCCGCTGCCCCACCACCCACCACCCTTCAGTCTCCACTGCCCTGCTGAGCTCTGGGGCTGGAGCCCTGGCGGAGAGGGTCCCCTGCCCTGCCACTCCTCCCTGGCCACCCTGTCCTGCCCCAGCGGCAGTCTGAGTCATGGGGTCCCAGGCCCCCTCTCGGGGCTCCCCACAGAGTGGTGCCCACTGCTCCGAGCTGGCAGCCCCAGGGTGCAGAGCCCTCCAGCAGGTCTTTCCCAGAGGAGAACGACAAGAGAGCCGGGGTGTGTGGCATCTGCCCAGGACCACCGCCCCCAACTCTGGCCCCACAGCCCTCTCAGGCCACCTCTCGTGCTGGGAGCCCTGCAGGCCTGCAAGTCTCCACCCTCCCCTTCCCCACCACTCCTAGGCTGCCTGGCAGCTCTGGCCTCCTTCCTCCGACCACACTGGTGCCATAGGTTTGAAGGCGGGCAGGAGGGCTGGGCACTGCCTGCAGAGAGCTGCTGAGCTGAGCCCGGGAGCCCCCTGCCTACCAGCTCTCTGGCGGCCCAGCCACTGGCGGAGGGGCACGGGTGCTGGAGGGAGCCCTCCCCGCAGCCCAGGTAGGGGAAGGGGGCAGGTAGGGGAAGGGTTGCACACTCCTTGGGCGCCTGGGGCCGGGTGCAGGGTCTGCTCTCAGGTACCAGTTCCTGGTAAGGGGCCGCTCCACGCTGAGGAGCCGCGTGCTTATGCCTGAGCCTGGGGTGCAGTGGGGCGCCCCTGAGTGGGCTCAGTGCCCTCTGGCTCCCGTTGCCTGGGCGGGACTGGCTCTGCTCCCCCTGCAATTATCTGTGACACTGTATACTTCCCTTCTCTTGATGTGTGCCTATATTTGCTGTGAAGACAATAATTAGAGGTAAAATCACAATTGGAAAATGAGCCTGAGTGTTCGAAGGGCAGGGTGATTAGGGAGGCCGTGGGGCTCCCCAGCAGGAGGGCTCCCGAGGGCCTGCTCTCCACTCCCTGCCTCCAGGGAAGTGGTGGGACTGGAACCCGAACTTCCCACCCCAGCACACCCAGGGCGGTAGGGAAGCTTCACCAAGGAGGGGTACCTCCATGCTGGGCTTTGAGGGGTGTGTAGGAGTCCGTGGGCAGAGGACTTTCAGGGACAGCGGCAGCAAGCAGAGGAAGACGAAGGCTGAGAGGGAGCCACCAGGGCTCTAGGACGAGGCCCAGAGCAGCCCCTGCCCCCCTGCCGTGCGCTGTGGCCAGGGCCCCAGCGCACAGGCCTGCAGGCAGCTGGCTGTGGTGGGCTCATGCCTGACGGCACGTGGCTCGTCCAGGGCACCTCCTCCCCTGCTTCTCTGTCCTCTGGGGCTTTCTGAGCGGCTGTGCACCAGCTGGTTCATGGAGCCACCAAGCTTCCTCGTATGCGAAGTGATGGTGGTAACAGTCCCCCACGTCACACGGCCCCCGGGGCGCAGTCTGCAGTTTGGCTGTCATGATTATCGGTGGCAGTGACAGCAGCCATTTAATTGCCCAAGAGTCACCTGCGTCGCTGTTCAGTCCTGTCTGTTGGAGGCTCACTTCCTTTCCTTCTGGAAGCAGGACCACATTTCTCCCCACACACTGTGGCTCCCGCCCCCCGAGGACATGCTTGCAAGGGTGTGTATTCACCGGTGTGCGGCATGTGCACTGAGTCATGAGGCTCACCCGTGGGGCGCTTCTGGGCCGTCGGTGTCTCCCTGGGAGCTCCCGCCTGTTCTGTTTGCGGCTGGTCCGGCGTCTGTCCTGCGTGGTGGGGACCTGCAGGAGCTCGTGCCCCAGGGAGTGGCTTTGCCACCCATTGGTGCTGGTCCTCTTTTCCTTGTGGCCTCAGTTGTCTGCGGGGCTCACCCGACAGAAGTCTGCCTTCAATGCTGCGCTGCCCCTGCTGGCGTCTGCGTCTGGGCCAAGACCCACCTCGTGTCGGAGGGCAGGGTTGGTGCCAGCTGTTCTGGAGGCTGTGAAGTCCCCATGCCTCCGCTCTGAGTTACAGGTGCTGGTGCAGCTCCCCGGGCCTTCTCTGCTCGCCCCCTGACCTGGAATCATAGGGCTTGTGCGCCAGATCAGAGGCAGCTGGCAAGAGGCCCCAGGAGCCCGCAGCCCTTCCCCGGCAGAAGACGGGATGCAGTGGGCTCACCTGCAGCGCCTCTGTCCTTCCCGGAGCCCGGGGCTTCCGGCTTCCACCAGGCCTGGCCCCTAGCCCTCGTCCCTCTCTTGCCCCTGGGGGCACACTGGTGAGCTCACTGGCCCACAGGGTGATGCTGCGGCTGCAGGGCTGCAGGGCTGCTGAGGGGCCCTGGTTGAGCTGAGGACAGGCAGTGCTGGGGAGGAGGTGGGGCTGAACTTGTGAGGCACTCAGACGGACGGCCAGACACAGAGATGCGTGGCCCCCTGGGAACATGTTTTCAGTGTATGTAGCAAAGAACTCATTTCCCATATAAAGCAAAAGGTTCTGTAGACGGGTAAGAATCAGCCCCACAGCAGTGGTCAGTGACCATGAGACGCTGTCAAGGTTGCAGTTAAAGCAGCAATGACAGGGTTGGCAGAGCGTGAATGAGACAGAGTGGGCGTCCTGCGATCCATGCCCCTCAAAACCCTCAAAACCCAGAGAAGCTGCAGTGCTGTGGTGAGCAGGTTGGCCTACAAGGGGCTATGTCCCAGCCCCCCAGTGCTGGACACAGCCCCAGCCACGGCACTCACCTCCATGCCCGTCGGGGAGCACAGGTCACCTCAGAGAGCATCAGGGTAGGGCCCAGGTGCTGGAAGCGGGTGCAGGGCATATCGGCCATGGAGGGTCTGGCGCAGGGTGGAGGGCAGCTGGTGGCGGGTGGGCTAGGTTGGAAGAGGCGCTCCTGAGGCTCTGGCAGCATCCCAGCCGGGGGCAGGGGAGGCGCCCAGCTGTGCGCACGTGGCCAGGGGCAGCGACCAGGACCCCGGGGCCCTGAAGTGTGGTGGTGACCGCAGGTAGCATCCTGTCCTGCGGGGGGTCTGGGGAGGAGGGCCGCAGGGTTGCAGCTGCCCAGCGAGTGGCCTTGGGCCTGTCCTGGTGTCCTGGGGAGAGCAGTGAGCTGGACACAGGCATGGGGGCACCTCTGTCTAAGGGTCAGCAAGCCAAAAGGAGGGTGACGGGTGCAGGTGGCAGGACAGCGGAGGCTGAGGTATGGGGTGGGGGCGCCGTGTGAGATCTTGAGGGGCCCGGCAGGGTGTGGCCCTAGACCTGCTGAGGGTGCCAGGGCTGCAGCTGAACATCTGGGGAAGGGACACTAGGTGTCACTGGCCTAGGAGCAAGGGCTGGAGGAGGCGGCAGAGGGCTGATCCCGCGGGAGATGTGGTGTGGGGCAAAGTGACGTCGGATACAGCTTCTGGGCAGTGATCGAAGAGCATGGGAGGGCAGACGGTGGCCATGGGGTCTGGCTCAAGACTGGCTGGGCGGGGTCAGGGGGTGCTGGGTCCTGACGCCGAGCGAGGGGCCTGGGTTGGGTGTGGGCGGGTCAGGGCCTGGGCTGTGGCCCGGACGGGTCTGAGGGCCCCTCTCTCGCCCCCAGGCCTCGTGAAGCTGGGGATTCACTGTGTCACGTGCCAGAAGGTGGCCGTCAAGATTGTCAACCGGGAGAAGCTCAGCGAGTCTGTCCTGATGAAGGTGAGCCGCGAGCGGGCCTGTGGGCGGGGCCGAGAGCAGCGGGGCGGGCTTGGGGCGTGACCGAGAGCCGCGGGGCGGGAATGTGGGCGGGGCCAAGGACAGTGGGTTGGGTCTGTGGGCGGGGCCGAGGGCAGCAGGGCGGGCCTACGCTCGGGGCAGAAAGCGGCAGGAAAGCCAGCCCTGGGGTCCTGCTGTTCCCAGCCTGGGGCACAGCCCAGGTGAATCAGGACCAGCCCTCTGCCTCTGAGCAGGGAGAGGAAGGGCTCAGTCCCAGGAGGCCTTGCAGCCTCTCCTCCTTCCCATCCCCCTCCCTCCCCCCTCCCTCTCCAGCCCTGGTGGGGTCTGGTCCCCTTTTAAGGACTGACTTGGAGGACTCCTGGGCAGCGGTCCAGATGCTCAGTGGGGAGGGGACTGCCCAGGCCTTGGGTTCCCCATCTGTCTGCACTCCTCTGTTCAGATGTCTGTCCACTCTAAGCCAGCTAGTGGGGAGCAGACTTGGCTCTGCCTTGCCCTCCAGGCATATGGGGACAAGAAACCAGGAGGGTGGAGACTGGTGGGGGCTGGTGATGGGTAGTGATATCAGTGAGGACCCCACCGGCTGGTGGGGGCAGGGGGGGACTTAGGGGGCCTGATTGGGGACGCTCGGGGGACCCACGATGGGCTGGTTGTAAGGGAAGGTGGTGGTCACCTGGATGGAGGGGCAGCACTGGTGGCAGACAGGCAGATTCCCACCCTGCCTTAGCCAGAGTGGGGCAGAGGGGCTGAGTCTCACCTGTTAATTTGGGCGCCAAATTTAAGATGCCCACGAGATACCTGAGTGGGGAGATGGGAGCTCAGTGGAGGGGACCTTGGGGTGTAACTGGGGTCCAGCCCCTTGAAGGGCTGGCAGGAACCAGGCGCAGCCAGTGGAGAGGCAGGGGGGTATCCCTGCCCTGTGTGATGGAGGGGTGGAGACCCCAGTGCTAGGCTGGCCTGCTCCAAAGCCCAGTGCTGCCCACACGGGCCCATGCAGCATCCTGAGGGCAGCGGGTGTGCTGTGTCTGTGGCCCCCATGGCCTGGCCCCACATGGCCCAGGAGAGTGGTGGATGGTGCCTGGCAGGGATGAGCCCGGCCCTGCCACGACTGCACTCCCTCTCCTGCAGGTGGAGCGAGAGATCGCCATCCTGAAGCTCATCGAGCACCCACACGTTCTAAAGCTGCACGACGTCTACGAAAACAAAAAATATTTGTAGGTATTACTGGGTCCGGAGAGCCGGGGGGCCACAGGGCACGGGGCCTTGGGCTGGGGCCAAGGAGGGAGCCATCCAGGAGTGGGCTGGAGGACTGGCCCCAGGCCTTGGCACACTGCTCCGTGACCAGACCCACAGCCAGCTGGGCGGGGACTCTCAGAGCCACCTGCTTGAGCCTCCAAAGTGGGGATAGAGCCTCCTGGAGGCGCTGGGGGCAGGGGTTACGGGGCAGGAACAGCTCTCCCTGCCCTGTCTTGCGTCCCAGTGAGCCTCGGGAAACCCCTACTCTGTCAGGGCTTCCTTGGACCACCCCCCGCTCCCCTGGAGCCCCCATCTGCTCGCCTGCAGGCGTGGGGAATGCAGGCCAGCTGACCACCTCTCACCCCAGCCTGCTGTCCTGCCGTTGGTGTGGCCGACCTTCTGTCACCAGCTCGGCCACCAAGGCTGGCAGAAATCTCAGCGTGGGCAGACCTGAGTGGAAATCCTGCTCCATCCCCCATGCCCCCAGCTGAATGACCTCAGCAAGCTCACCTTTGGGTGTGGGCAGTGGCCACTCCCAGGGTCAGCGCAGGAGACAGCTCTTCCACTACTGTGTGACTGTAGGAAGGGCCTGCTGTGCCATGGCCCTCAGGGAGAGGCCCCACCAGTGTGCTCCCTGGAGACGTGGACTGAGTGAGGGAGTGTGAGGGGGCAGCAGGGCTGGCCTGGCATGACCCCCTCAGGCCCACTGCTCCAGGGGCCCCTCAAGGCCTCGAGCCCAGCCCTGACTGGGCACTGGACACAGGCAGACTGGCGGCCCCAAGTGGCCATCCTCAGTCTCCGCAGGCAGCACTGTTCTGGGCAGAGGAGGTGGGGGCAGGGCTCCTAGCCTCCCCTTCCTCCTCTGTCATCCCTGCGCCAGCCAGGGACCCAGTGCATGAACGGCAAATGCTGAGTGTTTATCTACAGACGGGGCGCCGAGAGCTGCCCTGCATCAGGGGGCCCTGAGAGGAGCAGGGACAGCAGTCACCACAGGCCTGGGGAGGGGGTGGGAGGCAGGTGGCGGTCCCTGGGCCTCTGGCACTGCTGAGCTGGAGAAACTCGGCCACCATCAGGATCAGGATGAGGGACAGGCCCCCCAACCCCGGCTGGCCGACTGGGGGCTCACCTGAGGTGGAGGCAGGAAGCACGGAGGGGCCTGGGACAGGAGCGAGATGCTGGATAGGAGGGTGGACAGGCAGCCAGCTAGGTCCTGCTGGGCTCAAGGCCCTCCCAGGCGTCCCAAGTCCTGAGGCGGCCCAGGGAGCCTGGAGACTGAAGAACAAGGTTGGGGCCTCTGGCACTGAGGGCTCAAATCCCACCCAGTGCCCCCACCCCATGTCTCCAGCCCCTTTCTCCCCCAACCCCACCCCTCCTCTTCCCTGCAGACTGGTACCTTGTGCCCCAGGGGCTGCCTCCATCCCTACTGGTCCCTCTATTCCTGCAAGACCAGCTCCAAAGACAGCCAGTCTCTCCTCTTCTGTCCCCAAGGCCCACAGCCTCATCCCCTCTCACCCACTTTCCCTCCCCACGCCACCGCAGCCCACCAGGACCACCCCCTCACAGCTCCTAGCAGCGGCTCCTCAGGGACTGTGCTTGGCCCTCCAGGCATCAGTGTCCATGTGTCTTGGACCACCCCCCACCTCACCCCAGAAACCAGCCCCCTCAGGCGCCACATGAGGAGGCTCAGCTTGGACACACTCCACTTCTCATTTGGTAGCTTCAGAGGGGTGTGGGGACCCGCACAGCCTGTTACCCCAGCCAGAGCCTGGACACCTTCCTGCCCTCAACCTCCCTGTCCTGTCTCCCCCACCCCTCACCCCACAGCCCTGCGCAGTAGCCCTGTGGGTCCTTGGTCCCTGGACCCCCGCCTGGTCACATGATGCCTCTGGAGGCTGGACTAGCCGGCTGCTCCTCCCTGCCACGTGGGCTGCTTGGCATGGGCACATGGAGTCTGGGGCGCTGTTGGAACCCAACCCCTCCAACAGCCAACCCCAGCCCCCCTGCACCATTCGGGCCACGCTGAGCCAAGTCAGGGGCAGTCACCACCCGGCCATCTAGCCACACCCACCTAGACCCTTCTCCCAGCTCTGGACCTGTTTGAGGCCCCAGCTGTGCCCTGCCCCCTACCCATGCTGTTTTGAGGTCTGCCTTGCTGGCCAGGGCTCTCTGAGGGCCCCAGTGTCAGATTCATACACCCTGCTCCAGGAGCCCCATCTGGGCAGGCCAGGAGGGGCCTGGAAGGGCCACACCCCAGGCACGCATGAGGGTCAGCAACCATGGGGTCCCTCTCCCCTTGGGGCCCAATGTGGTCCTGATCTTGGGCCCCTGGCTCCAGAGGGCTCCTCCAGCGCCGCTGCCCTGGAGGCGGGGGCGGAGTGGCCCACATAGTCGAGGATCGCACTGAGATGGGGTGGTGGTCCACGGCTTCAGGCCAGTGGTGCCCTGGCTGGGTAGCCCAGAGGTGGGCTGGGCTCGTCACGCGCGCCCACCTGATGCCCGCCCGTCCCCCTAGATACCTGGTGCTAGAACACGTGTCTGGTGGAGAGCTCTTTGACTACCTTGTCAAGAAGGGGAGGCTGACCCCCAAGGAGGCCCGGAAGTTCTTCCGGCAGATCATCTCAGCACTGGACTTCTGCCACAGCCACTCCATATGGTGCGTGCCCGTCCCCCAGCAGGCACCCCCGTCCCACCAGGTGTCCCCCACCCCTTCCAGGTGCCGCCCCCCCCCGTCCCTGCAGGTGTGCCTGCCCCCTCCTGCTTTCCTGCCCCCCATCGGACAGCATATGCTCTACTGACCCCCTTTGGGGCATCAGAAACCTTTCTGCTGGGTGCTCACCCAAGGCTCTTTGGCTTTTTCAGGGGTCCTGGGGCCCCCTAAGTCTGAGGGCCTCAGGTTGGGCTGGGCCCAGAGCAGGTGTAAGGCGGGAAGCAAGGGGGGCGGGAACCTAGGGAGTGAAGCAGAGTCTGCCCCTCCCTGCAGCTAGTCAGCATGTGAGAGACCTCTGATTGGCTGCTGGTGACATCACCAGGCTGCGTTGCCATTGGCCTTGTGCTGTGCGGGTGGGGTTTTGGGAGGCCAGGCAGCTCCCAGCCTGCGAGCCTCAATCTCGCCTTCCTTCCCAGCCACAGGGACCTGAAGCCAGAAAACCTGCTGCTGGACGAGAAGAACAACATCCGGATCGCGGACTTCGGCATGGCGTCGCTGCAGGTGGGGGACAGCCTGCTGGAGACCAGCTGCGGGTGAGCCGCGCCCTCGGCTGGCGGTTGCCAGTTCCGCACGGGCTGGCCTCTTGCAAGGCGCAGAGCCTGGCCCCGAGATGCCCAGCCAGGTGGCCCCCCCAGCTCCAGGCCCCCGACTCGGCAACCTGCAGCCTGGGCGGGAGGCAGGGCCTGCCTGCCATGTGCAGTTCAGCAAGGGGGCAGCAGGTGACCCGCCTGGCCCAGAACATCCCTCAGCGCTGTGGCCAGGCCCTGGGAGCTGCCCGCCCCGCCTGGGGGTGAGGCTGGTGTGCCAGCTTCCTGCTGTATTCACTCGTGGTGTGCCTGGGCGGGGGCGCTGGGTCACGCAGCACGGTCCTTCCTCTGATGACCGTCTCCCTGGGCTAGGACGGATGGGCAGACAGTCTTCAGTGCAATGAAGTGCATGCTCCCCAGGAGCATGCAGAGGGGGTGAGGTTGTGGCGGAGTGGGCACCAAAGCCCTGTGGCCTCCTGGTGGGCCTGAGGGCCCCACAGCGGGGCATGCATCCCAGGCGGAATATGTCAGGGACAGCAGGGGGCACCCCTCCCTCCGTCACCAGCTGCTCCGGTCCAGGGGGCGGGGCGAGATGTCCAGGGGGCGGGGCGGGTTGCCAGGTGCCCTCAGTCCTGAGCCTCCTGCTCT